TACAAAGTATTGACTTTAGGGGGGTGAATAGTTATGCACATTGACTTTTTCTGTTATTTTGTCCTATTTGTTGTTTGCTTCACAATAATAAAAAAAAAACATCTTCAAAGTTGTGGCCATGTTCTGTAAATTAAATGATGCGAATCCTTTTTTCCTTTTCATGAATCCAATTCATGTTAATTCCAGGTTGTGAGGCAACAAAACACAAAAAATGCCAAAAGGGGTGAATACTTTTGCAAGGCACTGTATATGGACTTTGGCACCCACAAACATAAGCATGGACTTTCTCATTTGGTTCATATTAATTGTGGAAAAAAATTGAGTTATGTTAAGCTCCACATAGAAGAATCATCCTTGGTTGTCATGAAATTAACCCCAGATTTGTATTTGTTTTTGTCTCCCCAGGTGTCAACAGTCATGCAGAGGAAGCATTGTGAACCACAGCGTGTAGGTCAATCACTTACAATCAAAACCATCCAGGGTGCTTTAATGTGCGTTTTATTCCCATTATTCTTATTCTCATGCCCCAACTAATTCTAATGGCCTACAAACAGTTTGCTGATATACATGTAATATCAAGACAAAGCAAGAGGTATTGACCCACATTCACAGAGACCTTTGGACTGGAAAAACTCAAACAATGACACATCTTTGCTGGATACTTCAGACTTTAGACAGAATATAGTACGACTACAGCAATAAAAATTATTTTTAGCTTCTAGGAATGTTCTCAACAATTGAATTTAAACCAAATCAAAATAAGTTAACACAATTCAGATTACTTGAGAAACTACATATATAAATCCTATTTTTAACCTGCATTGAAGCCTATATGATCATTGAAGGACTCAAAGCCTCTTGTTTCTTAATTTTAAGCTTTAAATGTCCTTTTAAAGAAGTTCTGTTTTCTATAATGGCAATTTGGCCTATAGTTGGCCTATATTTGTTGCTATCAATCATCTAAATAATTACCTACTTTCCCCACTACTTAAGGATTAGCAGATTGTTGCGTAATAATATCGAATTAATAAATACTGCACATTTGCAATATTAGAAATTACTGCTTCCTCACAATGTCCAAAACAAGATGTTAAAGGACTCTTATGCCACCTTGTGGTAATCTAAAGCTATAACCTGTTATAATGTATGTTATATTTAGTATTTGCTTTTTTTTTAAATCTGGAAAACATCCAGTTAGTAATTAATAAGCAAATATCAGTAAAAATAAAAGTTAAAAGAAATAACTGAAACAGGATCCAGGATATGTGGAAGATTCACTGAGATCTTTCACGACCGTCTGTAGGCTGACTTCTAGTGAAAGGTGAGATCACAATATGCAAATACATCAGTGCACTTTAGATACAGGCCTAGTGAGATTATACCTCCAGCTGGTTATTCTGGATATGTCTTATTTTTGTCAACTAACTTCATAAGCATATTCATTTATCCACTCACTGCTGGTTCATATTTGATCTATATGCACTTTACTGCTTTTTGCACCTCTGGTTTAATGCAAAATTATGTCGTTTCAATACTTGTACTCTGTGCAAATGACAATAAAGTTGAATCTAATTTGATCTAATGTGTAAACCCCGTCTGATTTTGACCTTTTTAACTATTTCCAGATCCTTTCCTGTAAGACATAATGCTCTAAAACTTCACTCATGCATGTTTACTTTAGTAATAAAACATTCACTGGTATACATGTTCTATTATTTTACAGCTATATTATATAATCCTGTTTGTGTCTATAATAAGACTCATGTTGGTCATGAAAGAAGCTGTGCTGCCTCTGTAACAATCCACTGCTTTGGTGTGGTGTGTTAAATATTTGGGTGTGTCCTTTGCACTCATGAAACATGAGCTGCTCCAGCCACGACCAAACTGGCTGCTCTTCAAATAACCAACATCCAGTCTGTGCGCATAGACGTGTCGTCCATAGAACTACATTTATAATTCATGTCATCTTATGGATCTGTCCAGCCTTACAGCTTCATTACTGTCCAACTGTATGGTAATCAAAACCAGAAACAGGAGAGCTGTAGGACTAGTTGGATCCAATTCTGTGGTGTATAATCAAGATTATCATCAAGGATACACCAGATAGCTTCCATAAATGTATAGCAAGTGTTATATTACCATTGTTATAATCAATATATAGTTGTTGAAATGCTTTAATCATTACTGCAATTAAAGAGATAATTTAGACATGTTGAAAATTAAATGTAGTTGTTTCTTAGATATAAGCATACATGTTTGAGCAAATGAGCAAAACAGGGTGTATCTCTGTAGTCGGCTGTGTTGTTTTGGGCCGCTAGTGAAACATAATCAGTCATCAAAGCTTTATAAATCTCTCTATCTACACGACACTCGTCGGCCCTCTCGGGTTGCCAAGCGACGAGTCTGAAAAAACCTTGCGGTGCACCTGAATCAGACTGATATTCTGGAGCAGCCAATGAAAATATGGGGGAGGACCTGCAAGGAAGTGGCCAGGTAACAGTGGATGTTTGGTGAGATGGTATAAACTTCCAAAAATAAACTGCAGGCACGAATGTGTGCGTGGAGTTAATTGATGGGGGATTACAGATGAGATTACAAGTAATTGATGCATGTTTCCTTTCTGCTAAGGTACAGGAAGAGTTCAGACTCATCTTTGATGGAAACTGCTAATTTGGATGGAGGGTTGCATCTTCAGTTATGAAAACACATGAACTTGCTCAAGCTTTGTAGCATAAAAATCATCCATATAAGTTTACTATCTGAACATAAATGTCAATAATGTGCGTGTGTGTGTGTGTGTATCAGGGTTACAGGAGCCAGTCTACTAACACTGGCTGACAATGGACCTCTGGCCCTGGGAAAGAGACCCTCTGAAATATGCATGAGGAAATCTACACCTGTTTCCAGGTAACCAAGGCAGGGATTCTGAACCGTGACGCTGAATTTAGAGTGTGTGTGTGTGACAGTGTATGTGTACACCTGCGTGGGCGCATGCACAAACAGGACAGCTTCCTAGCTTTACCTGCTCAGACACTCTGTGGGGACGAAAGCAGCTGTCAACCGTACAGGCTCGGCGAGACACACATCAATCTGAACAGGACAAACGCTATGAAACAGTGCAGGCCTTGGTGCTGAACTTTACGCATGGAAACAGGTCAAAGTTGGCCCAACTGAGACAAGCCTGAAGCTGGAAGTGGAGACTTGGTGGAGGGTGGACCACAGAGGCATAAAGAGGTCTTCACAGAACTCTCCCTGAGTGCTGAGTATCTTTTTGTGCAACTATGAATCCGATGTGGAAGGTATATAAGAGCAAAGTGCTAAAGACCCTTAACCCCGAGTATGAGGAGGACAATGCCGAAGAGGTATAGAATTTCCAACTTTTTCCCTCTTTGTTCCTCTTACTGATTCATATGTACGTATTAAAGTGTCAGAAAGTTGATGTGGTTGTTGGCGTTGAAGTCAGAGAGTCACCAGGTTTTGTTTGCTGATCATTTTTTATTCATCACAGGATCAGATGAGTTTGCTAAGCTGCAATGGGAACTTTAAGGCAGAAGTCAAGTTTAAACAATACTTCCTCTTGTGTGTTTTGGGGATTTTGAGGTCTGCCAACGGAATTATTAAGTGATAAAACTGTGTTTGTTAATATTTGCATGCAGATCTTCTCTGAACTCTTCTGTTTCCAGTGTCAAAGATGCAATCCAGTAGCAGATAGTAGTAGTCACAACACCAATAAAGCAGCTTGTAACTGTACTCAAAGGCAACGTAATAAGGCATGTTCACAGTTTTCATCAGCGATGGAAAGAAACTAATTAATATTTTATGATGATAAGCTTGTAAAAGTGCACAGTACATTGTTAAAGATTAAACCAGTGGTTCCCCATTTTTTTGCCTGGTGACCTCTTACAGACATTTCCCTGTGTAACTTTCCCAGATGGGGTGATTTGAATAATTGTTTGAGACCCAGAGAGGTACAACCCCTCAGATTTATCTTGCCACCCTTTAGAGGTGAGCCAACCACTGGATTAAACTACCAAACTGTAAATAAAGTAATTAAAAGCAGCTACAACAGTAAAATGATTGTTGCATCAGTAATCGTTTTAACTGAGTCTTTTACATTGTCGTACTGCACTTAACTAAACGAAACCACTGGTTTTCACAGCATCATTGCAATACCTGCACTCCATCCAGAGTTTGGTACCAACGAAACAGACACAGTGTTGCGTTGACCCAGATCTCTGGAGGGCTGAGAAACTCGATCCTGCACGGGAGCTGAACAAACGGATTAGTTGGCCTTCCACTGACTGACTGACATGGGGGAACGGGACAGATATCCAGAGCCTCGGGGTGGACTGAGACCAAACTGTGGTTTCTCGCAATGCCAAGACATCTAGATGGGGTGACAGGGAATACTTTGTGTGGAGAGATGGTTTCCATTTAGATGGATGTGCTGAGTTGTCATCGATGCTATTCGAGTCGACATTGCTCCACACGTACTTGTGAAAACAAAATTTTACTACAATGAACTCTGACTGTCAAAACATACACTGACGTGGAAATGCTATTCATGTCCTGACATATACCAAAAACAATCTGAGTAATGAAAAGATAAAAAACAGTAGTATCTGGCTTTTTGATTAACATTTCTTCATGGTCACTGTCACTGGGTTTTCTACAGGCTGTAGTATCCACAATATGCACTAGATGGCGACAAATGTGTACAAATCTCGAGCATCTGTATTAACATCAGACAGTATGGTAGAAAGAAATTCAGGACATTGCTGTGTGGTGCATCCATTTTGTCTATCTGTCCATTGCAGGTAACAGAAGTGGAGAATGATATGATGAGTCCAGTGCAGGAGGACGAGGGACCCAACGCTGTATCCCAGTTGGCCAAAAAAGTATGTGAACATTAACAACTCTTACTTAATCTTTGGAACATTTTATATTACAAAACGTTAAAGTTAACCTTAGAAGACAAATACAGGTTAACTGTACCCGACTGCACCAGTGTTGTTAATGAGTAATTTCATTATAAGTGGTGGTGAAAATCATTAAAGTAAAGAGGACCATTGTTCAACTAATCCTCTGAAACCACCTAAAAGTATGTGACCTTTGACCCTGTGTGTGTGGTTTGTTGTGTGTCCAGATGCAAGGGGCCGGGACTAAAAGCTGGAACAGGTTATCATCGCTCTTCAACAAAGAAGATGAACACCAGCTTTTAGAGGAGACTGAGAGCCCGCCTGTCGCTGACCAGTGAGTGGAAATCTTTGTATCCCTGGTCGGATGTCATTCGTGCACCTTGTACCATCTGTGGGGTTTGTGTATGTTAAATAGTGCTGCTTTGTGGAACTAATGGGTATTTTTTATTGTTTTCCGTGTGTGATATGTATTCAGATCACAATTTCACTAAATTCTGTCTGTGATCAGATTAGAGTTTCAATCAAACAGCACTTCAGTGAAGCCCAAATAATGTCGTAGATAAACTTCAATAGCAGAATTTATCTCACTGACAAACTGAAAAAAGGAGGTCTGATTAAAATATAACTAAAACTATAATCTCAAGACTTTGAGCTTTGATTTGTTGCAAATCTGGTCATCACTCACCATTAAATATGATGCTACAGCCAGAAACTTGGAAACTGGAAATTGGAAAGAAAAGCTGCCGTTGTCCTAGGTAACATAAAGGTGATACTGAATGCATATGCATTTTCCCCAAAATGTCAGTCTGTGAATGCAAAGCGGGTCCTAACTACACATTGAAAGAGTAACTGAAATGTTTTTGAAATAAGAATCATATGTAACCTAGATCAGTGGTTTTCAAACTGGGGTCCAGGGATCAGCAGTGGTCCTTAAGTGGGTTTTAGTGTGTCCCCAGAAAAAGGACGAATAGAGTATTTTAACTTTTATCACATTTTTTGAAAGTTGGAACAAGGGAAGATATACGGTTGGCTGTTTTTATTAATAATATATAGTTTTTTTAATTGTAATTGTAATTGATATTGATCGATAGTGATTAATCTAAGACTATTACAACATTATTAAATGTTAAAACCTAAAAATAAGAAATCCCCTCTGAGTGGTCTAATGTGCATCTATTATGGGGATCCCTGACATTAATATGTTTGTGGACCCCTGATCTAGATGTCTAATATTGTTTAATTTAAAAAACTTATGCTACTAGGGTTGAATACTTTAAAACATCAACTGGGCTGCTAGTAATACTGTATGTCCCACATTCAAATCTTATTTTTAACCAGTTTTCAGAGTCCTGTTTGATTTAAACTGCAATCTGCTCACTATCAGTCAGTATAACTAATGAGTAGAGCACTAGAATAATATCTAAAACCAGTCGGTTGACAGTGCTGAATTCTAAGCCATAGCACCCACCTATATTTGGACTCCTAAAATGAACCCCACTACTTTCTCTGAATCCTCAGTCCACTTGCAGTAAAGCCGGAGGAGCCTCCTCGACCCACTCGGCGCTCAGGATTCTGGGATAGCTTTGCAACCAACTGGGCTGCCAAGAAGCAGGCGGAAGCTGCAGCCGCTGCAGCAGACGAGGCAGCAGCAGGCCAGGGTGAGGAGGGGGTGACACAGGCAGGAGGGGAGGAGACCCAGGATGGGCAGATTACTGAAGGAGAAGAGAGTGAAGGAGGAGGACAGAGCAGCAACAACAGCTTCTCCAAATACGTCTCGCTTGGAGGAGGGAGTGGGGACACATCCTTCAAATGGAACTTTGTCACCAGCAAGCTGGCAGAGCTGAAGACCAAAACCAACTAGCATGACAAGGAATCTGTAGAATATAAACAATATGATGACGGGGTTAGATGTAGGAGTGTGGAGGAAGTTTAGGAGGAGGGTATATTTTACACAGGATGTTCTGTAACTAAACTACAGCTATTGTAGACGTCCCTTTTTATCACATTCTGAATTATTGAACTTATGCCCATAAAATGTCTTTTTACAACCACATCACAATGACCAAAAAAAGCTCCAATAAACCAGGATCTTTTTTAACCTTTACTTTCCTCATGTGCCTATTTAGGACATAGATATTTTCAGGACACAAATAAAAATCAGTCTTTAGATGATTTTTTAAAATTAAATCTTAAAAAGGAAGAGCATATTTCACACCTGAAAATGAAATTGTCCCTGTATGTACAGTGCATGTAGAGACACCAAGTACATAAATATTACTAGAGTTTACTTCATGAAAGGGACCTTCCAAAATCGATTGTACTAAAAGAGAGTTACTCTAATTTATGATATTATTTATTTTTCTTTGGAGATTAGGTGGATGTACTATGCAAATCTGCCTGCAGAGCTAATAGTCTCTTTAACAGCTTGAGACACAGCATGTAGCCACCACTGTAACAGGTGATCAGTACGTTAAAGGTAAATACAACAGATGATTTATACAGCGTCGAACCTGGTATATAGGCTACACGATACAGACCGCTTTTTAGGGGTTGTATGATGGTATCTTCCTTCCCAAAGTGGTTTTTAAGCCACAAAAAGGGGCCTTCACACCTGTCAGCAACCTTGATCTAATCTGTAGTTTTGCAAAAACTAGATTAAGAGATTAAAGGCGGTGATAGCTGGATTAGTTGAGGATTATCTCACTTAACCTGATCAGAGGGCATGGGATTTCAGTTAGGAGATTTGGCCGTGCAACATAACTATTACATAACTTTATAGCATTTATAAGTCTCTCCTCAGACATCAGGGAGGGTAAATGTGCTGCACAGTTATATGAAATGTGTAAAATATGAATGTGTGTGTGTGGTGAGATAATGTCAGGTGCACTGACACGATGATTTAACTGACTTGAATTTTCTGATTGTGACTGAGACTGACATGTGCAAAGTGTGAGTTTTTAAACATTCCTAATTTTGTGACATTTTATCTCAGATTTCGGTTTTGATCTTGATGTATGTTTTATTCTGTTGTTTTGTTTTCTGGTATCCTATAATAAAGACTGCTGCACTAAAACAAAGACAAAGCATGAATGAGCAAATGTAATTTTTGTTTCTTCTGCCAAACAGGATGAAAATCAAATCATTTCCAAAAGTGGAAAGAGAAAAAGTTAATGTTTTTATCAAGATAGATGCCAATTACAATAGAAATTAGACTATTTTCTGCAGCTTTACTCTGTCATTTATTTTTACCACAGATGCAAAGACATCAGACAACCTGAAATTAAGTAATTAGTGTTTGAAACTATCACATTTTTTAATTGTCTCAGTGAAAAGATGTTGTTGTATTATCATTAGGATTGGGTATCAGGTAAGGATTCTGGTTTGAATCCAATACGGGGAAAAAAATGCTTTTTATGTTATGTTACATTTTGTGTATTACTTTCTGTACCTTCCCTGTCTTATTTTTCTGCCTTCACTGAACAGAAATCACAGAACTATGTCCCCATAAGGTTTGCAGTCTGCCAAACAAATACAGTGAATGTCAGTAACAGTGATACAGACTAATGGATGATCAGGCATGTGTTGTCTTCTTATAGAGAGTCTTATAGAGAATCTAGATAGATAGAGTCTGGTTAAAACCTTGAAAGTTATTAAGAAAACATCACGTTGTAATTTACTTAGTGTGTTTCCAGAAAAATATCTCTTATGGTTGCTAATATGTAGAGTTTCTACAGCAGTGGTTCTCAACCTGGGGTCCAGAGACCCCCAGAGGTCACTGAGGGGTCTCCAGGTGGTCCCCAGAAAAATGGGTAATATTTAAATTTTTACTATTATTTAATTGACTAGAAGTTATTCCAGTTAGATAATGTAGAATAATGACCAGTCTGTTCATAGTTTTCACACTCTTCACTGTTAAGCTGCCAATCTACAGTATAGACAGTTATGTACAGCCTGATGTGTATCAATTTGGGGGTCCTTGGCACCAAAAAGATGGAGAACCACGGCTCTACAGTTTCAACAGTGTAACCACAACTTGCTTTTACTGAAAGGTAGAAAAAATACTGAGACGGTTTTTGCATTTTAAAGGTTTTATTGTGAAATATTTGCTTTGCTTCTTGACATTTAGCACAGAGCATTTCAGAAACAAGTGGTAGCCCTTGTTTTCAAAAGGCCTCTAAATGCTTTTCATGAATCATGAACAGCATGAATAGTCGACAGTCACATTTTCACCATCACACAGACAACCATTTGATTTTGTTTCGTTTTCTCCAAAGAAGGGGACATGTAACATTTCAGTTAAAGATTTTTGAAATCAGTCACATCAGAAAAATACATAATTTCCAGTTTACTTCTGTTGCTGTCTTTAGGAGCCTTTGATTGACAAACAGGGTACACCTGAGCTGATTGACTCTTCGTGCTATAAAGGAGGAAGCATGAAGAAGAGTGAAACCAGCTGCAAGCACCAAGTCTTTTTTGTTATTCTGAAGATACTTCATTTGGATCTAGGTCACTGGTCACCTATGTTTAGGATTTGTTTGCTTTAGGACTGTTTTGGGGGACACTGTTGAGTGGGCCATTGTAATAACAGACCTTCATCCCTTTGCTTTTCGTGAGTTTGATCTGGGCTTCCATTTTCCTTTTGTCTGAGGTGTAATTTGGCTCTTTAACATACATTTAATTTGTGACAAAATCAACAGAAATGCCAGTGTGATTTTAATCTATGGTGCCTCTAACCAGCAGGGGGCTCCCTTTACCCTTTAACTGTAAAATGTTACTCTTCTATCTTGTTTGACTGCCCTTCTATCACATACACACTAAATACAACGAATCATCTATAATGGAGCTAAAAATCAGGTCATATTCCCTGTTAGTGATATTTAAACGTTCCTCTTTCATCCCTCTTTTCCTTCACCTCTTTTATTTTCTGTTTTTTCCTAATCTACACCCATTTCCTCCCACACTCTGCCATGTTTCCCTCATATACAATACTGTTTCCTTTTTAATTTAGAGGCCTTTGTTGACATTTCCATTTGAATTTGAAACTACACCCAAATAAAAGGAGGAGATTACGTGAGCAAATGCACCCGAAGCTGGAGTTCATGTTTTTTTTTAGCTGAGCAGTCTCCATTATTTCCATGTGTTTCCAGTATCAGTCAGATTTCAGGCTGTCATCGTGGATCCTGTGAAAGTCAGTGAGTCTCAGTAGTTTTGTCAAGACTTCCACAGTTGTTAGTCTCAGTTTGAGTCAGAACAGATCTTTCTCCTACTCACAACTCGGTGACATGCTCAGAGTTTGGACATATTTATGTAACTCGCCCAGATTCTGTATCAAAGACCATAAAACAAGCTCAGGAGCCAGTAAATTTATTCCACAAAAGCTTATTTTTCGGGGGGTCAGGAGAGTGGTTCTTTTGAGTGAAAGCTGATGACTATTTGATGCTTGTGTGCGGTGCTGAGGTCCACATTGCAGTTTTATGACACCAAGTGAGCAACACTCAGTGGAAATGAGGTTTGTAGAGCATGAAAGCATTAGAAACTGAGAGCTATGGTTGGCAGTTTGAACAAAGGGGGGAAACTGTGGTGGAAGTGCAGAAAGACTAAACCGGATGGATGAGATGTCTCAAGTCACACTTAAAATGTGACTTTGGGATCTCTGAAATTATGAGCTTATCATAGAAGAAACACATTTCCCAAGTCATTCTAACTTTTAAGTAGATATTAAGTACTGTACAAACCTATTTTTTGTTGAGTACGAAATTAAAGGTCCAGTGTGTAACATTTAGGAGGATCTATTGACAGAATTTGAATAAAACTTGCATACTGGGGACTATGTTTTCATAAGTTTATAGTCACCTGAAAATAAGAAAAATTGTTTTTTTGTTACCTTAGAATGACCATTTTCCTTGGAGTCTGCCATGTTTCCACAGAAGCCCAGAATGGACAAACCAAACACTGGCTCTAGATAGGGCCTTTGACATTTTTTTGCTTGTTTGGCCACCATAGTTTATCCTTTTCACTTGGAAGGGGAGGGTAAAGCGAGAAAGATGCAATATACAACTACACCATTAGAAACAAATAAATCTTACACACTGATCCTTTAAAGTAGCATTAGCCTAATGGATTTTTTATCCATTAGGGCAGGGGATTAACCTGTAAACAAAATACCGACATATTACCACAGCTGCCTATTTATACACACAGCAGGCACAAAGTAACGTTATCGTTCATTATCTGAGTGTTTTTAGTGTGTTTAGCTGCTTAATGTTCCACTTTGTTCACCAGGAAGTCACTAACTTTGTCGCTAACTTTCACTTTCACTGAACAACGCATGTTAACACATGTTAACAAAAAATCTGGGGCTGCTATTACCATAACACACCTGGATCTCTGACTGAACTGGTCAAGTTCATATCGCTGCATCGATTTGGATTCTGAGTCCAACAATGTTAGAAGTAGAAGTACAGTGCTAAATCTGAGTACTCCTTGAAATGCTCCATAGAGCTGAGGGGAACTGTAGTGCTGTCACTGCGCATTTCATTTCACATTACAATCATTTGATCCATTGTTTATATGAAAGTATCTGCAGCTTTAAAGAGCAGCATGCTGTTGTGGCACAATTACAAAGATAATCAATGCATGAAATAGCTTTCTGGATGGAAATTAACGTTCATATTTTGTGGTTATGGTCGGGATGTCTAATAACTTTTCGCCCTTTCACACTGATCATGTGACCAAAAAATAGCATACAGTAGGTCTTCAAACAGCTTCTTCACAATCTTAAAAATCACTTATCTGGGCAAAAGTTGGGTTAAAGCCTTTACTTTGTCTTCTTAAAGGCCTTTAGTCCACCCCCACAGTTGTTTTCATCATCTCAAGACTGTGTAAAGCTGTGCTTGACTGGCATCTCATTCACGGCACAGTCAGACCAAATTTCAGTCTAACTGTGCCGTGACTCTCGGGATACATTACATTCATTTGGCAGACGACTTACATTTTTACCCAAACATACACACATCAGGAGTAATTTTACAGACTCAGTGTCAGTGACTTTTTAAAAATGCAGTTGGACCAACCCTTGTACCTTTTTCACTCAGAATGAAATCCAACTCTCATGCACAAATGCTCACACCTTGCCTTCAAAGTGTCTCTTCCATCATTTGTACTCCTTTCAGACAGGTGTTTACCCTTTTGCCATTTGGCTCACTTTTGGCTCTGCATGTAGCACAAACATTTCCCCATCCCCCTCCTACACAAAAAAGATAATTCAGACACAGTACTTTCTTTTTTCTGCTGATGACTAAACTGCTTCACACCTTGCCCTGGGCTCTGTTCCACAAACTGTAATTACTTCAAACAAAAGCAGCCCACAAAGTTGTGTGAGCCTGCTTTAATTGTTGCACATAACCCACAATGCTTTTCCTTCTCTCTGCTGGCTCTTCTGAACAGGAGATGGTTAGAGAAGATAGTAAGTTAAATCTGTTTATATCCATGATTGTCTGGGATTACCTTTGTAATTATGATGATGTACAGCAATGATAAATGGTAATTACAGCAACAGGTTAACACTACAAAGATGTAGTGGCTCTGATCAGAGCTTGTATATCACATTTTAAGTGCAAGCTTAAAATAAGTTTAGACAAGCTGAAACATGCAAGAAAATTAAAATTAGATTTCTATTGCACATAGATGCTTTCTTGATTCCCTGAAGGGAAATTTGGTTATCCACAAAACTCATTTTTTGGCAATTGGTATGCTGAAAAAAGAATGAAAAAACATCACATGAGGTCAGTGGGGCCATTTTAGAGACATGGTGCAGTTTGATGAATTTGGGTCAAACTACCATATGATTATGTTGTAAGTTGATGTTGCATTTCCAGCGTCTGTCCCTGTGTGACTCCTATAGGCCAACACAAGACAAATTATGCAGTCAAAATGACCAGACTGTGCCAAATTCGGGGAAAGTTTGTCTTCAAGATTACAGCTCAAGGTCTCAAAGTTGTTAAGTTTATGAAATAACATCAGTCAGCGAGAAACATGTGTAAAGATTTGGCCCAGAGGTGTCGTCTCTCCGTCGTCGGCCCCCGGCTTGTTTTGTCTGTAAAATCTGAGATCAGAAGTTAGCTGGGAGAAGATTTACAGGTGAAATTATGGAACAGGGGGCTGTAAAAGAAAACAGGAAAGGTGATATTTGATGATTTTTTTAAACCACACACACACATTTCTTACATGAAAGCGAGACAGACATGTCTGGTAGCGCTCAGGTATGACGACGCTGTGGCGAGAGTCTCAACAGACATGGTGAGTCACACACTCCAGCAGCAGTCCCATCTGGAAACCAACCTGCGGGTGCAAGGATGTACACAAAAACACACTGTCTGAGGCTTTTCAGATCCTTGCCTACTATTGCCACACCTGCTTGAGGCAAGTATGTGGAAACTAGTCTGAGGAAAACATGCGCGCCCAAACAGTGCAGTCGGAAAATACTAGAAGAGAATGACACACTTTTTACATTTTTTGTCTCCCCTCCAGCACATTTGATTTGAAATGTCTATGAAATTAGAAATACCTGACTTCTAAGAGTGTCCATCCACACGGGTAAAAAGTGTAGCCTTCTCTATACGTGGCCTCCCATTTTGAAGTGCATCAGAGCAATTATTCTAGGAATACAAAAACAAAACAACCAAGATTTGTTCTTAACTGAGAAAGTAAGTCAGCTAACCTCAGTTCAACCTGTATTATTTCACCTGCAGAACACCAGACTGAAGGGAAAGGTTCCTCAAAACAAGCAGGAAGTGAAGATGGCAGCAGTACAG